CTAAATACACCCCTCGTTGTGTTCATAAATCGCTGGTTCTGGATTCACTTTTGCTGATGTAGAAGTGATGGTGTGGTGGTTATTGTAGGGTGAAGAAGAGTTTCTTCAAGCAAGCCTTATTAAGATTGGTAATGAACTATTTTTTCCAAAAATCCATTTAATGGGCTCCGTAGCCGGTTAGCCAGCCGACCTGCTCCCGTACCTACCAGGTAAACCAACTTCCCGATCTACCCCTCACCCTCCAGGCGTAACTGAGGGATCCAGTTATGAGTCGCCGACCGTTAGAATGAGAGTGGCATTTATTACAGCATTGCTATTCTGTCAAATTTTCACAAATATAAATCCGCGCGGATTCCCATCGGATCCGCGCGTGAAGATTTTACAGAAAAGCACTGCTGGTCTTTGTAGTGTTTGGACACTCTGCCACTACTTAAGGTTAAGTTGATGTTTTCATTCAATAGAGGTGATGACGGGGTACAGTAAACGAAATTCTATTTAGTCTGTCAGTGAGATGATCAAAAAATAATGGACACGTATTTTATCTTTGGGCAATCAACCAAAAAATGACAAAGTTATAGATCGTCAAAGTTTGGGGGTAGGGGCTCGTGACGTCACTTTTGGCTGAATTTTCACTTATAAGTGTACTCAAACGTGACGTCATGCGACTTTTCAAATCAATATATCTATGCAATGTTTATATTATGTGAAAAAAGAAAAAATACGTGTCCAACACTTTTTGATACTCTACCTGATAAACGAAGAAAAAAAAATTAGTCATCATCTCTATTGCAGCTTCAAACTTAATTTTTATCTGTGCAATGCGAGCTCTCTGGGAAAGTGTACACACGTGGTTTAATAGTCTGGCTGACTAGGTGGCTTGACTAATCTACACCAGACAAATGATACCAATCGCTTATCTATAAACAAACAAATTATATAGAAGCATATAATTTATATGCATCGAAGCATATAATTTATATGCATCGAAGCATATAATTTATATGCATCGGGCATAGAAGAATGTAAACCTGCAGTTACAGTGGACTACGACAGGTATCTTAAGGGTATTGGTCCCGGGTTCGAATCCCGGTGGGCAGATGTTTTTGTGATGAATACGAGCATTTGTAATCCAGTCATGGATGTTTAATATGTATTTCTATATAAATATACTTATATATGTACAGTATATGTATTCTATCCGTTACCCTAGCATCCCATAACACAAGCCTTACAGTGCTTATTTTGGGGCTAGGCTAATTGGTGTGAGTGTTGGAAATATTTAATTATTTAGTATTAGAATACAGGCAATATGAACATATTTAAGAATAATTAAAAACCTGATCTTTTTTTTTGTCCCATTCGGTCCTAGCGCTGTAAGGCTTTTTAAAGAAATAGCAAAAAGATTAGTCGACATCACAGGGGACCGAAGAGCTGGCAGCTACCTCGGACAAAAAATTAGTCTAGCTATTCAAAGGGGGAACGCTGCCAGTATCTTCGGAACCATGCCTAAAGGGACTTCTTTTAATAATGTATTTTAGTTATTATATTTTAAGGTTTTTAGTTTTAGGTTCATTGTTATAGTATATTTGTTGTTTTAATAGAATTGTGTTATTGACACATCTCCTCTCAGCTCAGCTTCAGTGGAGATCGCTGTGCGGAGATGTGTAATATTTGTATGGCGCGATGGAAGCGGAGATGTGATTTGTGCGCGGACGATGCGCAATGGAGATCAGATATATGTGAACCGAGTGTAGTGAGCGGTGTCACCCTCCCCCTTCTCGCCCGCCAGCAAACCGGAGAGCCCAGCTGAGCACTCAACGCCTCGCACCCGAGCTGAAAAACATCTCTTCTCGCACAGCACACATCACACCCCACACATCTCCGCTTTGGTGGAGTCGCCCGAGCTGAAAATCATCTCTTCTTGCACAGCATACAGCATACAGTCACATTCGTTTTGCCAGGTCAGATTTTTAAAAATCGGGAGGCGTAATAGAAAATAACTGTAGATGTAGGGAAAGATCTACAACAACAGTAGATGCATAGTCGTAGCGTTCCGATTTGCACCCCCCCCCCCCCCTCTTGGTAAATCAAATCAAGATAACAACGACCAGCAACGAATGTGTTTCTGTGACTTCTGGCGCTCCTTAAAGCTAGTTCACACATCTCTGCTTTGGTGGAGTCCCGGCTTTATGCTTGACAAAAGACAAGGAGATTCAGAGCTCAGTACTTATTATCTAGCAGTTAAAATTATAATGATAAAAGTAACGGTCGTTGTGGTTTTCACTGTTAGTATTAAAAGGATAAGAGTTAAAAAAATATATTGTATTCGCAAAACAAATTTTCCGCAAAGAATTCCGCTATAAAATTCTGGGGAACACGGAAATGTGATAACGATTGGTTGTAAGTGATTCATAAAGCGTAATCACACTATTGTATGTAACGTATTAACATAATATGTGATTCACTGGCTTCCAACTTTGTCGTTTGTGCTGGTGTTTACTATAATAGGGAAACAACAGCCTACTTCATCATCATCATCAGCCTATTAATGTCCCCACTGCTGGGGCACAGGCCTTCCCTATGGATGGAATAGGGAGATTGGGCCATGACTCACCACACGGGCCCAGTGCGGATTGGTGGGTGCTAACGACTGCAAATGCAGCCGGAACCAACGGCTTAACGTGCCTTCCGAAACATGGAGGAGCTCGAGATAATAATTTTTGGTCACCCATCCAATGACTTCTGCGAAAGTTGCTTAAGTTCAACGATCGCAGCAGAACGCGCAACCCACTTGCGCCATCGAGTTCCTCAGCCTACTTAATCATGCTGAATGGATATGGGCAAAATGAAGTGCTTCGATACTCAGTTTTGCGGTAGGCTTTTCAAATCCTTTTATTTCCGATATTTAAAAAAAAAAATATCACCACTAAAGACGTGTAGTGTAGTGATTCAATGAGGGCTACCGTTTTTTCTCTCACCAGATGGCGCCACTGTTGAGTGAGGTCCTAAATTGTAACTTAGTTTATTAATACGCACATGAAATCAAAGGTTACATTTAGATCGTATTTTAATACAAAAGAACCATATCCTAAACATTATTATGTTGCCATGCCACAGTGACGCGCAGTTCCGTTTTATTCGGAAAAAATGGGAACATAATCATTTTTCTAAGCTCAAATTTTTAATAACTGACATTCATTGCCACATAACTCATATTTGCCATAATTAAGCCGAATTGTTACCAATTATTCACAACATTATTTTAATAAGAAATAAACCCGCGTAGTCAACCAACAAGCAATAACATTTGACATTTCGGAGACCTCACGCTACACTAGCGCCTCTAGCGGCTGATTCATACGCGATAGCCCTCATTAGCATTTACAAAAATAAGCAAAACAAAGAAGCCTATTTTAACTACTTATAGTTCTATTGGTCAAATTACTTAAATCGAGCTTAAATCTAATTTCGGGGAGGGAATCGTCGAGAGTCATACCTCGAATTTTGCAATTTGTATACGCAATTTTCAGCATTAGCCACCGTTGTCCCTATTTTATTTATTTATTTAAACTTTATTGCAACATAACACAGCAAATGGCGGACATAATGCCATAAGGCATTCTCATACCAGTCAACCAGTAAGAGCGTGAGAAAAAACTAATATGACGGGGGCGCAATAAAGACAAATGTAAGATAAACCAAGGATACAAATACTCTTAACAGAATACACACACATAATACACACATACATATACATACATACATACATATACATTCACACATATATATATATACATACATAGATACACACATATACAAACATACAATACATACATAAGTATACGATTATGTCAGTCATATATGAGAACGCTGTTTAATGCTATTGAGATAGTGCTCACGAACCAATGCCCTAAATGCAAGTTTGTTAGGAGCTTTACGTATATTGGGGGGCAAGTCATTCCAGAGTCGTACAGCCGTGACAGTGAAAGAGTAGGAGACGAAGCCAGAAGAATGGACGGGAGAATGCAGAAGGAGATTGTCCGTTGAACGGAGGACACGGTCATGAGAATCACTCAGAAACCTAAATCTGCTTTTTAGGTAAACCGGTGTATGTGGATCGAAGAGAAGATTGAAAAGGGCACAAACAACTCTGAGGTTCCTACGCTCGCGAATAGGAAGCCAATTGAGCTGAAGACGAAAATGTGAAATATGGTCGTATTTACGTAAGCCATATATGAAGCGGATACAGTTATTAAGAAGGCGATCCAACTTATTTAGAAGATTTTCATTTATATCGGGATAACATACGTCGGCGTAATTGATGATAGGCAGAATGAGAGATTGAACAAGGGCAATCTTGGTACGAGTGGGCAGAAAGAACTTAAACCTGTAGAGATCTTAGAGAATTGGTCACCCTATGCGGGAAGAAATCGACATGGTCTATCCAGGAAAGTTTTTCATCTACAATCAAACCCAGGTCCTTTACTTGAGCCGAGTAAGGAATAGGAACATCGTCATAGAATATCGAATTCATCTGAGCAAGGTCAAGTTGCGACAGTAGACGTGAACTGCCAACAATGATCGCTTGACACTTGTTTGGATTGACTGATATACCAAAATTAGCCGATCAGTTTCTGATCACCCTGAGATTATGATTTGAACTTGCGACCGCCTCATTCAAATGAAGGCTATCAGTGCTTACATACAGTTGTAAATCATCAGCATACAGATGGTAAGAGGAAGTAAGAAGTTCTGTAAGAGTATTAATGAAAAGGGAAAAAAGCGAAGGAGAAAGAATACCGCCTTGTGGAACACCGGCAGTCAGCTCGCGCCAACTGGATAACTCCTGATCGAAGCAAACAGCCTGCCAGCGATCACGAAGATAAGAAGTGAACCACTTCTGCACTGAAGATGAGAATCCTAGTCGAGAAAGGACAGCTATGAGAATATCAGCCCTATCGCACGGTATTTATGAGAATCCTAGTCGAGAAAGGACAGCTATGAGAATATCAGCCCTATCGCACGGTATTTATGAGAATCCTAGTCGAGAAAGGACAGCTATGAGAATATCAGCCCTATCGCACGGTATTTATGAGAATCCTAGTCGAGAAAGGACAGCTATGAGAATATCAGCCCTATCGCACGGTATTTATGAGAATTCTAGTCGAGAAAGGACAGCTATGAGAATATCAGCCCTATCGCACGGTATTTATGAGAATCCTAGTCGAGAAAGGACAGCTATGAGAATATCAGCCCTATCGCACGGTATTTATGAGAATCCTAGTCGAGAAAGGACAGCTATGAGAATATCAGCCCTATCGCACGGTATTTATGAGAATCCTAGTCGAGAAAGGACAGCTATGAGAATATCAGCCCTATCGCACGGTATTTATGAGAATCCTAGTCGAGAAAGGACAGCTATGAGAATATCAGCCCTATCGCACGGTAGTATGGGCTCCACACGAAACAAAGTATAGACAAATGATGGAGCGCATACAAAATAAATACACGAGATACTTATACCTAAAGTTATACGGAGTGTACCCTTTCTATCCGTTGATGTACCCAACCTTGTTCGTATTGGGCATGGTCGGTTACAACAAGTTGGAGACAAGAAGGGAATTGGCACTCGCTGATTACATAGTCAGGGTGTTGCGTGGCATTACCTGCAACCCAAATATATTAGGATTGCTAAATTTATGCGTGCCTGATAGATACGTGTGGCGGCGCCGGCGGCCGCAGCTTCTCGCGGTGCCGCGCGCCCGCACTCGCCTGCTGGCCACCGCACCTCTGACGCGAACAATACACACGCTCAATGTAGTTGCCGAGTCTATCGATTTGTTCACCTGTTCGATTGGCGAGTTTACGAAAGTAACTTTAAAAGTGTTGTGCTATAAATAACATTATTGACTTTTTTACTGGAATATATTTTTATTTATTTTGAGAAATGTATTATGAATTTTAGATTTTATGGACAATATTTGTAATGCATCCTAAATTGAAGTTATTTTTTTTTTATTTTTATAGATTTTTAATTGACATTTGCTTAAATTGACATTGTTTTTTCTTTTATTTATTTTTATTGACATTTATATATAACTAGAGGTCGCCCGCGACTTCGTCTGCGTTAACTAAGTTTCTTGGAAATCCCTCTGGAACCTAACATTTTTTTCGGGATAAAAGTAGCCTATGTGTTATTCTGATCTATAAGCTACATTACTGTAAAGTTTCATTAAAATCCGTTTAGTAGTTTTTGCGTGAAAGAGGAACAAACATCCATCCATACATCCATCCAAACAAACTTTCGCCTTTATAATATAAGTAAAGATTTACAACATTTACAACATTGAAATAATATTGTTAATAATTAATGTAATTTTATAAGAATTTATAGTTAGCTTGAAAGGACGACTACACTATTGAATTAGGTATATACCTGTTATAATGGTGTAATGTATTTTGAATAAATAAATAAATAAATAAATTTATGAGAATCCTAGTCGAGAAAGGACAGCTATGAGAATATCAGCCCTATCGCACGGTATTTATGAGAATCCTAGTCGAGAAAGGACAGCTATGAGAATATCAGCCCTATCGCACGGTATTTATGAGAATCCTAGTCGAGAAAGGACAGCTATGAGAATATCAGCCCTATCGCACGGTATTTTTGAGAATCCTAGTCGAGAAAGGACAGCTATGAGAATATCAGCCCTATCGCACGGTATTTATGAGAATCCTAGTCGAGAAAGGACAGCTATGAGAATATCAGCCCTATCGCACGGTATTTATGAGAATCCTAGTCGAGAAAGGACAGCTATGAGAATATCAGCCCTATCGCACGGTATTTATGAGAATCCTAGTCGAGAAAGGACAGCTATGAGAATATCAGCCCTATCGCACGGTATTTATGAGAATCCTAGTCGAGAAAGGACAGCTATGAGAATATCAGCCCTATCGCACGGTATTTATGAGAATCCTAGTCGAGAAAGGACAGCTATGAGAATATCAGCCCTATCGCACGGTATTTATGAGAATCCTAGTCTAGAAAGGACAGCTATGAGAATATCAGCCCTATCGCACGGTATTTACCGAAGTGCGACAGCAACAGTTTTTTTTTAAATACCTATTTCTCAAATGTCTCTCAGCTCGCGTTCGCTCTTAACCGCGAATTTGTTGTCAGGGCGTTCACACACTTTAAAATTGTGAGGGTACATAATAAATCATGTTTTTCACTGTTGAAAAAAAAAATTTGTTACGAATCACCTCACCATATATCTCTCCCAAATCTCACCATTTAAACCTCAATGAAACGCAATAAATCATGGTCAGTTCAACATGTTTGATTGTGAATTTGTGACAATGCATGATGTAACATGTTTAATGTCCTAATGAAATAAAAACGAGCGAGCCTTACAGTAGTCGCGTAGATGTGTAACATTTGAAACCTTTCGCGACTTCCTGTTACACACTTCCGTCCCATTTCACGAAATCACTTCCACAAATTGAAGGAAAGCGAGAGGAAAGATGTTATACATCAAAAAGAACCTTGGATTTTGCTATCGGAGAGCCGAAAAATAATCATGCACCGCTCAAAATAGAAACAGAAATTTATTCATTAAAAGAGCTACTAATTTGCTTGGTAATGATGAAGGCTCATCTGTAAGCAATTGACCTTGGTATCATTGTGTAAATGTGTAGACTGTTGTGGTATTGTGTAATGACGGTAGTTATTACTTTTGGTTTAATCGTACTACGCAACTAGGCAATACTATTTTTAGTATGGCTAAGTAGTTTTTGAAGACACTTAAGATCGAGGTTTCCTACTGAAGTTTCTCATAGTACTCGCGTATAAGCTTGTCTACGGTCTTTTAACATTTTATAAGAATACTAGCTGTTCCAGTGAACTTTGTACCGCCATGAAAAAATAGGGGTTGGTGTTAGAAGGGTGAAAATTTAGGGCTGTATGTATTTTAGTATGATGTATCATAAAAAAATAAAAAAATACAAAAAAAAAATTAACTGTGGACCACCCTTAACATTTACGGTGGATTTTAACTTGACATTGTTTGAACGCACAAATCGTGCATGCCATAAAAAAAAATACGGGGGACTTTTTGGCAAGATCGGGAAGCGTCACTTTAGCTTTTTTTGTTTTTCTTGTTAAAAATTGTGTTGTGGCAGATGTTAGAGTCTAATAATGGTGGATGATTAACTACTAAGTGTTCAGGAACATGCACAAGTGCTGGCAAGTGAAACAATATAGCGGAAAGTGTCTTTCGACGGTCCCTCAAGAAGTCCACGGGGAGGTTCCAGTAAATCCCCACACATTTACTGAAACATAGGGAAAGGGGGATTGACTTGACTGCCACTTACTTTGACTTTATTTATTGCTTTGATCACGAGTGCTATAGAATTTGTAACAAACATTTTAACACTTGACATTGGCTAAATGCACAAGCCGTGCGAACCAATTTAGAAAAAAAACATATAAAAACATTTACGGGGATGAAATATAGATGTTGTCCGATTCTCAGACCTACTGAATATGCATATAAAATTTCGCGAAAATCGGGCGGAATTAGGTAAGGAATTATTATGTTATAATAATTCCTTACCTAACATAAAAGTAGTCTAATTAGTTTCAGCTGAGTTGAAATAGTTTGGTGGTTCACTGAACTCTTTAAATTTGTATGAACTTTATCAATATACAAAAGTTAACTTATTATTTTTAGGCAAAGTTTTTGTTTATATCACCTGATGACAATATATATATATATATTGTACTATAATTTTCGGAGTAGTTAAATTACGCACACCTTGACACGTGAATTTTATATATTAGATGTTAATTTTATGATTTTTTCAAGAAGTGATTCTCAATTTGACTGCAATTTTTTGTATGGTTTTTTTGTTTAAGGTCAGAGTCAGCTTAAGAAGAGGTCCGCGCACGTTTTCGACATATGTGGACGGATTTTGATAAGTCGTAGGTTGGTTGTCATTCAATAAGGTCGTTTAAAAATTTGGTGAACATCTGATGAGTAACATTTAAGCCGAGTTGAGTTTTGCGTAATAAAAATATTTCATCATCATCATCATCAGCAGCCTATTAATGTCCCCACTGCTGAGGCACAGGCCTTCCCTATGAATGGAATAGGGAGATTGGGCCATGACCCACCAGGCGGGCCCAGTGCGAATTGGTGGGTGTTTACGACTGCAGATGCAGCCGGGACCAATGGCTTAACGTGCCTTCCGAAGCACGGAGGAGCTCGAGATAGTAAATTTTTGGTCACCCATCCAATGACCGACCACTGCGAAAGTTGCTTAACTTCAACGATCGCAGCTGAACGCGCTTACCACTTGCGCCATCGAGCTCCTCATAAAAAATTATTAGATACATATTAAGCTGAATGATTTTGATTTTGAAAATGCTGGCTTCATTTCTGTGAACATCCATCCATCCATCCATCCATCCATACTTACACTACTTAATTCAAATATCAATAATCAATAATAATCAAAATCATTTATTCAGTTTAGGCTGTTACAAGCACATATGAATGTCTAGAAGCTACGCCATCGGTTCGTAAATCTACGGCGGGAGACCTTGTACTGAGAAGAACCGGCAAGAAACTCAGCAAGGGCTGTTTTTTTCTCCCTGTATTGATATATACAGAGTCGTCAAGTTGAAAAATGACTTCAGACATACTTCTGAAGTCACCTTCCATTACATAATGTGAAATTATACATTAATTGTTCACCTGCATTTTGATTGCTGTGTCACACAGTATAAAATTGAAAATCTATCGCTAAACACAATGCAAGCAATCAAGCTATAAGCAACAGTCGCATGTTTCTAAAACAAAGAGTTGTTATGGTTTGCAATGTGCTGAGCGATGTTTATGCAATAACAGCTGCCGGGCGGCACGATTGCAGTATTTTGTCATCATCACGGCCTTAAATTATGTTATTTGTTTATTAAAAGCAAGCCTTATCATATCTGTCATTATCTAACTATGCAATATTAATGATAAAACTATAAGAATATTATACAGCGTAATTGCAAATTATATCGGTGACGTACGAGGCTGGTCGTTGCGTTCCCTAAAAAATGGTTGAGCGAAGCGATGGCTGGTTCATGCGTCATGCTCGTGAACGGGTGCTGCCAGCGGAGATGAGTCTGCTCTTGCTTCATTGGGTACTATTAATCGTTGTACTAAACTTTAATCGTTCATTATTTTTTTTTGCCTAAACAGTAGGACACGGCATTCCTAAACTTTGTCAAACCAGTTTTTTATTATTTAGTGACTTTTTGAGTTACCTCATATTGAAGTCATTTTTCAATTTGACGACTCTGTATACAATATAGGGAGAAAAAACAGCCCTTGCTGAGTTTCTTGCTGGTTCTTCTTAGTACAAGGTCTCCCGCCGTAGATTTGCGAACCGATGGCGTAGCTTTTCGACATTCCCAAGTGCTTGTAACAGCCTAGACTGAATAAACGATATTGAATTTTGTATATTTTTTATCTGTAACGCCCTATTGTGGGTGAAATATGGCAAAAAAATATAAGTTTAATACAAACTATGTCGATCGAGCTATTGTCTACTCATTCATTTTGGGCTAGCATTCAGTCGTTAATTTATTTTTATAAAGAGATGCTATAAACTTATTCTATGTCCTCATCAAATTACCTGTTCTAAATGAGGGAAAGTCTAGTTCCAAGCTACCTTTGCAAAGAGCTTTATGACGTCTTCTGGTTGTAAGATAATTTTTATAATTTTAAAGCATGTAACTGCTTGATGTTTATATCTAAAGAAAATATAACTAGAAAAATTCCACGTGGACCAGGCAGCAGACGGGACTCGACCCGCACCCTTCGCAATCCGGGCGAATGCACTGACCAATTATGCTACCGCGGCCCTTACGGACCGCGTCGAAATTCTTCTAGCCATTCTTAAGCTGCAAGGCAGCGCCATCTCTTCGCATTATAGGTAACCCACAATGTTAAATGAATGCTTTTACAAGTATTAAACATTTGAAAGAAGAAATAGCAATTATAGTTATAATTTTTATAATTTCAAAGCATGTAACTGCTTGATGTTTATATCTAAAGAAAATATAACTAGAAAAATTCCACGTGGACCAGGCAGCAGACGGGACTCGAACCCGCACCCTTCGCAATCCGGGCGAATGCACTGACCAATTATGCTACCGCGGCCCTTACGGACCGCGTCGAAATTCTTCTAACCATTCTTAAGCTGCAAGGCAGGCTGCAAGGTGCGGGTTCGAGTCCCGTCTGCTGCCTGGTCCACGTGGAATTTTTCTAGTTATATTTTCTTTATGGGAAGAGAATGTTAAGATATATTGTTATATGTTGAACTTTAGTACACTATATACTCTGTGATTGTATATTCGTTTGCTTTACTTTTTATGGAAAAAGAGTGTAAAGGTTTGTCTATGTAGGAAGTAAGTAATGTTGGTCTATTTAACTCTTTGCCCAACCTATAAGATGTGACTGTCGTTCCTTTTTCCACCTTGTGCTCTGCAACAATAAACGTGTGCCGCCATCATACATTTTTTCATTTCATCATCAACAACCCCACGCTGCTGCACTCTAATCAGGCCCTGTTGAACAGAGAAGACTTTTTTCCAATTTTCCGATAGACAGTCCAACGTCTATTTGGTTATGCCTTTGGACATGAAACAAACGGTAGTATGGGCATACACAAGTAATTATACAAAACACATGGCCTTTAACAAACTTAGTATAAGGTATCAATTTGACCGTTCACTTCCGATCTTTGCAATAAAATGTCGCTTATAACTTCTCAATTTACGATTATTTTAAAACAGTCATTGTTTTGTTTGCAGAAAATGTTTGTTAAAATTTTCTTTACTGCATTTGTCAGTGTATGGAATCCAGTTGTGAAGGTGGGTTCCCAAAGGAATTTAGATGGGTTTCTTCAAAAGCAGTTGGAAGAAACTTTTGAGGCTAAGCTATACTTCAATCCCTGTAGCATGGGCACCACAATTTAACACGTTTTATATCGCGTCTAACTGTCAACTTTCATATTAATTCGACAATTTCATTGAGCGTGATAAAAGCGAGCTATATATCATATTGCGGGATTCATGCTTTCACTTTAGACTAAACATACAAAATGTAAAAATCGCTATATATTTGTAACCAATATGGTATTAAGTTTGGAAAAGTTATGGAAGAGCGAGAGTTCCTGACACAGGCAAATAAACTTGTCTACTAGGGATTCTCAAATATTGTATCACTAGCATAATATTGGTTATAGAAATAAAGAATTTTTGATTTTTTGATTTTTTTTTTTGATGCTGGTCATGGGCTGGGGGGCTGGTCATCAGCGGTTTACGGCTTACCAAACAGCCGGGCCATGTGCTTGTTTGCGCTCGTATACAATCTTTTTGGGTTGTTAAAAAAATAAAGGCACACAGGTATATGGTATTTAGTTACTGGTTAGCGGCGGAAGTGACGTATGAGCGAGCGTATTACACAATTAGTAGCCAGCCTTGGTGAGGTAATTGTGCTTCGATCGCTTCCTCACAGCCACTGCCAAGTGAGCCAATCTGATTCGTGCCTGCTGCGGGCACAACAAAAAGGAATGTGCTAATATCCTTTTCAATACACTTGTTCAAAAATGCATTTTCAACACATTTGCTTAAAAAAATGCATTTACGAAGGTTGTATATCATCATCATCATCATCAGCCTATTAATGTCCCCACTGCTGGGGCACAGGCCTTCCCCATGGATGGAGTAGGGAGATTGGGCCATGACCCACCACGGGGGCCCAGTGCGGATTGGTGGGTGCTAACGGCTGCAGATGCAGCCGGGACCAACGGCTTAACGTGCCTTCTGAAGCACGGAGGAGCTCGAGATAGTAAATTTTTGGTCACCCATATATATGGTTCGAAAATTCAAAATTGCGGGTCATAAATCGGAGCGTGCGGTAAAATTCATTACGCACGCTCCCATACAAGCCACCGTGCGTATTCTTTACAGTTTTTTATCTACATCATTAATTACAACGGCGCCCGAGGCTCGGCGTTGTAATTCCTTCAGCACCACCCAGGAGGTACGTGTGGGGTAGTGGTTAGGTGTCTCCCACGGATGTGAATTACATGACCTCCCATACGGTAACATAAATAATTTTATGCTTTGACTAACCTTTTTGACGTGACAACGTCTTAAATTAGGTTGCGGCTGGGAGTCACTTATGAAAAAGTGTAACGCTCGGTAACGTTACGATGAGTCTCTCGTGTTAAGTTTAAGTTTACATGTACAATGTTTTAGTAAACAAAATATATTTCTATAGTTAAAATTTGTGCAATTCTTATTTTCATTCAATTCCTTGTTCCTATTGTGCAATTTAATTATATTCATATCAATAAATATTCTACCGAGAAAAAGACGTTGTCACGTAAAATCTTCGCCCGTAAAACCGACTTTACAGGCAACCATTTTTTTTTTTTACAATAGTAGTGAAGCTAAACTCCAATATTGTTTTAGAATCTACGCAGAATAAACAATATAACTGCCGCCGCCAGGTCTCCTACCTAGCACGATAAAGACATTCATTAACAATAATCGATAAGTAATTAATTGAGTTACTGAGCAACTCGGTGGTAGCTATTCTATGAATTCACAATTGCTCCAATTTTGTCTCTATTGTGAATCACATCAATGTGATGACTGGCATTGCGTTTAACGACATCTTGTGGAGTTTGAGGCTGCCATTTAATTTATTTGCAAGTTAAAGTAAGATTTTTCTTAGATAGTAATAATTTGCAGGGAAGTAAGTAGCTATTCTCCACAATGGATCAAGGAATACATTATCCTATCCATGTAGGTATTTCAGAATATACTTTCTGGATATATGAACATGGGAAATTTGTAACAGGCAAAATTAAAAATAAGTAGAAAATAAAAAGGAATAATATGGCAATTTTACCTTAAAAAAAATAAAGAATGAGAAAGTAGTACTTCGTGTCCCCCAATACACAGAAAAAACGGGAAAACCTGGTAATTCTGCCAAACAGCACTGATTACCACCATAAGTTGGATTTAGTTTCTACTTACACTCTACTTCAAAGTTGTCCATGTGCCGAGGGTTGCTCTTTACCTGAGAGGAGACACCCCTTCTCAGAGATGAAAAATAATTTTAATGAAAATGAGAATGGGAATGGATAGAACAATTTTGTCCTTATCATAACACGCTTAATTTTTATACTAGGAACTTCCATAAAAAGAAAAAAGGCTTTTTCAAGCATTTCAAAAAATGATTTATGAGATTATGCCGAAAAATGCGCTGTTTTTTGGATATTTCACGTTGAAACTTTCGATTTTGGCGTTCGATGAAGAAGAACCAACCTTAAACAAGCTCTCAGTTAGTACCTATTCAATATAGTCGTATTTTATACCCAGTATTTTGCTTGTTATGAGCTACAATTTTACTCCAAATATTTTTTTCATAAAATACTTCTTTACAGAGTTATTCATGTGAAAACGTCGAAAATTAGTTGAAAAGAAAAGTTTACTGATATATATTTTGTTAATTAGATCTAGGTATAAGTATTCATTGTTTGTTTCCCAAATAAAGATAAAATAAATTAAAAAAAAAAGTTTTGCTTATATGTAAAAACTTTATTGCTTAGAATAAGTCAGTCTATCCATTCACATTCTTAGTTTCAAGTTTTTAATCCCCGAGAAATGGCGTCCACCCCTAGATTAAAAGCAAACCTCGGCACATTGACAATTTTAAAGAAGAGGATAAGTAGAACCTACAGCCAAATTTTGGTACAAATAGTTGCTGTTTGGTAGAATTGCTGGGGAATACCGTGCATTGGCTGTACTAAAAGAGGGAAAGAGCTTTTTCTTTTTGACTTTCTTAAAAGTGCTTTTTTAGCTAAACGTCATTGTCATGACGATGTCACGCGCGCTTATTTCAAGTAGTAGACTCACACTTAGTGAATCTCAATTTAAAAAAATATAGGCCTTGCTTAATATCATGTCTGTACATTCTTCTTTGCCGTTACACTTATTATTTTAGTGAAAGAGTTTCGATGTCATTCATTTAGGTGTGAAACTCTATATAACCTCTACTACAATATGCCAAGAAAACACGATGATTTTCTATCACAACATTTATGTAGTCAAAGACATACTCGTATCTGTTTCGCCTTTGCCCCCGAGTTCTTGGACATTGGAAAATTTCACATGACACATAAAAACTTTTTAATGGAAATCCTAATCTCTTATCTAATAGACAAGTCCGTCCGTCCGTCCGTGGTGCTGTTTCAGCGGCCAAACCGTAAGAGATAGATAAAGAGAATGTTTAGGTTATAAGTTAAGAATAGTCTGATAAGACTACAAACCGGATTTGAGTAACGTAGCACTTCCGGTTTTCGAGAAATCACGTGATTTCTATTTCAAACGAAACCACACAAAATCTCCGAAGTTCTCAATTAATTAAATACATTTTTTTTTTGGTGAACATTTGGTTCACTGGTTTGCTAGTTGTAATTCTAATCCTTATAATAATAAAATTTAGACTTTAATAGGGATGATGACTAACTTTCTCTTCTTCGTTTATCAGGCAGATTATTAAAAAATATTGGACTAATATTTTTTCATTTCTCCTGAGGTTTTTCACGTAAGTAATGAAAACATAACAGAGATATGTTGATTTGTAAATGCCACATGACGTCACGTCCTGGTATAATTTTTACTTAGTAGTGCGGATCATGGACTGTGCGGATCATGGACTGTGGGGACCCAAACTTTGACGCGTTTTATCTTTGTCATTTTTGGTTGATTAAAAAAGGATACCATCGTCAGATCCAGACTTAAAGGACTACTGGGCAGTATCATCATTATCAGCCTATTTATGTCCCCACTGCTGGGATACAGGCCTTCCCTATGGATGGAATAGGAATAAGGGCCATGACCCACCACGCTGGCCCAGTGCGGATTGATGAGTGCTAACGACTCTGCAGTCGTGCATCTGCATGCAGCCGGGACCAACGGCTAAACGTGCCGTCCAAAGCACGGAGGAACTTGAGATAGAAGATTTTTGGTCACCCATCCAATGACCGACCACTGCGAAAGTTGCTTAACTTCAACGATCGCAGCCGAACGAACTAACCACCCGCGCCATCGAGCTCCTCTACGGGCAGTATAGTTCTTTCAAATAAAAAAAAATACCAAATTGGTCCAGGCGACTTCAACACACATTAAAAAATCCGAAGATTTGAGACCCCCCTTCTCTTTTGAAACTGGTCAAAAGTACTCATTTAAAAGAAAACTTTATTAGACAACTAAGTATTTATTTGTTTCTTAGGTTTTCACGCACATCTCTCATTAAATAAAAAAAAACGAAACGTCAATAAATAAATAAAGTTTCGTGCATTAACCCGTTATAACTAGTTTTATTTAACTAAGTATATTCTCGAAAGAAATAACAAACTAGTTTTGTGATTGTCTTCGCCTGTTAAAATTAGCGAAGTAACAAAAACCCCACGGTTCCATTCAGGGTATAAGGTCCTTTTGTTGTTACAGTTCAGGTAAAAGGGCTTTCCAGGAATCAACAAGGTTTTGTGTGCACTATCCATTTCTCACTCACATTGTATATGGTGTGAAAAGGACAGGGATCGCTAAAACCGTCAACGTAGGAGACTTTAAGCTCAACTTATTACTTACAGCATTGTTTGTACGGACGCGTTCGGACGTGAAAAAAATGGGAATCATAAACAGCTTCAAGGTTCCAAATACATTTTGTACTTTCTTTATCTAGCACGTATACACTATGTAACAAAAGATAATTTTAGGGCAGCAAACAATGCATTGAAAAGATATTTTACAACAACTTATCAAAAACAAAGCAACAAAAAAGCGGCTTTTTTGTTTTAATCTAGGGCTGCAACTGCAACCCTTGGTAGGGAAGCGGTATCTGTTAACAATTTCGAAGTTCCGTTCAAGTATGTTATTAGCTTTTTCTTTCATGTTCAACTTTCTGCGAATTTTTGGTATAGACATCCAATTACAGCCCGTTGATCATTATTTTGTTGGTCTTCCTTTTCAATATTTTTGTTTAATTACAATTGATTGAGGAGTAATGCTACCACTTATAGTATAATTATTAAATTTAAATAAAACTAATTTACGCAGCACATCGATCAATGTTCTTATAAACAAACATTAAAGTGATATTAAAAGTGACACAGTAAATAAAGCGTGTTGTTGTGTTTATGTACCGTCTTATCTGCCCTTGAGTAAATGAGGATGTAAGTATCTTCTTGTAGATAAAATAATTATTCTGTGTAAAAAAAATGACGATCGTTCAAGGGTTAATTTTTGCAAAATTGTTCTTTTGATACCTTTTAGATGAGAAGTGATGGTTTAAGTTCATTTATGTGTCGTCATAATTATTATTTTTTGATTTAAACTTCACTGTTAGGGTAAAGGCTTGTCCTATTATATTTATTTCAACATTTAAATGTATTTAGGTAAGTACAGTACCCTTAGTACGAGTTTTACAATTACGAAAACTATGATAGTTTTCGTGAGCTCACATTGGTACTAAAGATACTGATTTTATTGTTATCGTTTCAATACAAATAAACAGTGTTTAAATTCTATCATTAAATCATTTGCGTCTTCTTAAATTTTAGGTAGGTATATTTGGTTCCTTATCATCAAAATGGACATAGAAACATAATTTACAATTACGAAAACTATGATAGTTTTCGTGAGCTCAAACTCGTACTAAGGGTACAGATAAATGCATAAGGCGACATTGAAGTCAAACCAAACTGAATAATCGTAAATATAAAAAAAATAAATAACGACCTGTCATAATCTACCACGTGGTCCATCTAAGGAGGAAGGTTATATTTAGGTAAAGATATAACTGTTTTGTAGCTTTAAAATCCCTCGCGGAACTTATTGGTGATGTAAATTTTAATTTTAAAGTTTTCGGGTAGATTCTTACTATATAATGAGTACCTGCTCCAGAAAATTATAAAATTCAACTAGGCAACTATCAGATCTGCTCCTAAGATTGTGGTTGGTTCATGATCCCGTAAGTAATACACAGATTATTAACAATCTTTTTGAAAGTAATTCTGGAATCGTCATTTGTTTTCAAAAAGTTTCAAAGCATGAGTGAGCATTCTAGCATGGAAATTTAATTCTGAAAAGATAGCGACAATATACGCGTCACAATTACATTCATAAAATGTTTTCTTTGTTAATGAATGAATGGCGTAAGTCAAAAGGCTCGTTGTTTGGAATGTAGACGTCCGGGCGCGTACTAGGGTGTCAATTTACCTGGCCCGCAGGTGTGACGATGTAAATAAATAAAATGTTCCATCCAACCCTCTTTGTTTGCTGCTCCAGCGTGGGGTGATTGATGCACGGGGGTACAAGAAAACCGGTTTCTCATCTTCTAACCAGGGAGTGTATGTACACTTGCACTTTTAAATAACGTTATCAATAGGAAAACAAAAAAGATAATACCAGTATGAAACGCCTAATTATCGCGTAGTTGCGCGGTCGCCACATAGATGGCGCTAGTTGTGGCATCACAGAGAACAAAGCACGTTGTTTGTTGCAAGTTCCGCAGTGTCATAATTTTAATCGTTCACGACTGAAATAGGAGTTATTGTTCAGTTAATTATAATAATCATAAGGAATGTTTACGAGATAAATAATACTAGTTACTTGATGGCAGTAAATATATTCAGAAAATATTAACAGTTAGGTTGTCGACCTAATTTCGTCAGTATAAAAAAGTTCATAGCTATCAAACAGTAAAAATTACAGTATTGTCAGGATCGCATTCGATTAATTGATCTCTTAACATTAGTAGTTATTGCTTTATACAATATCGTATCGAGTAAAACAGTCGATAACAAACTCGTAGATAAACTACCTATCTAACTTAGGAATAATCAGCCGTCCAATCGATCAACCTTGTACACGTTAAACACTTAATTTAGATTAATTATAATAATAATTACATATCACAATGAGACGTCCCTTCAACATTACGCACTCGCACACAAAATAATAATAAAAATACAAAACGAAGGCTCGAGATCTAACTACGTCTAGGACTATCATAAAGACGGGCCCCAATAGAAGATAAATTCTAAATGCATCCGCGTATGCAGCGCGGTTCAGTCGGCGTGTTGCGTTTGGAAGAGTTTATAACAACTATCATAGTTTCAGTAGCGATAAAAGTTAAGCGTTCCAGAATACAATGGATGCGGCCCGCGGAGGTCGTTCCCCGCATGGGGCTTCGGTATTGGAATGTCGGCGTGCAGCCGCCCCGAGCGCTCTTTGTGCGCGCCGGCCGCCAGCCGCGGCGCGGGCGAAGCTACCTGCCGCGCCGTCGCCGCGGCCCCCTCACACGTCACACGGACGACCCAAAGTCCACTTTCCACAGACCACGCCACTACACAGTGTCTTTCCCGTCAAACTTCTCGGCTAGTTCACCCATCAGCTCCTTGTAAATCAGCGGGTCGATGTTCTTTCCCAACTGGTATAGAACAAACCAGTCGCCGATCTGCAGCTTGCGCGCCACCGATTCGACCTGCTCCTGCGGGGCGAGGCGGCTGCGAGCGCGCAGCAGGTACAGGCGCACACGCGGTCCGGCCACCACCGCCATCCGGTACAGCAGAGAGATACCGCTCAGGATCGACAATATGACGAACCAGAACCACAGGAACACGTAGATCTTCTCATTGACGATGTTCAGCGGCAGCACGCACAGCCCGTCAAACTTTTGCACGGTTCCCGAAGGACCGTATTTGTGGAAGGTGCATTTCGTCACTTTAGGAAACACTCTAGCCATTGGGTCCTCGCGTTCTTCCGGCTCCATTTCAGTAAAACGCACTACATCGGCACCATAGGTAGAGAATTCGCCGTCTAGGAAAAAGTCCATGAAGAATATCTGGCCGACTACGTTGATGAAGTTCAGCACTTCGCAAATGAAGAATCGGAACGCGTAGAAGTTCTGCGTATGCAGGTTTGTGTAGAAGTAGTCTACGAGCAGCTTTTTGCGGTCCGATTTACTGTCCTCCCCTACGACGGGGCAGTTGAGATCTAGAACTAACATCTTGATGCGACCTCCCTCCCACGTTTTCCAAAGGTAGCGTGGCACATAGAACAAAATGGCTTGGAAGAACAGCACGAAACACACCCACTGATAGTATTTGTGGTATTTGACTTCATCCTGGCCGTCGATGTGCGAGGAGACGCCGGGCTGCACCATGTCCTTGCCCACGCGGCCCACCAGCCGGTTGGGGATGGTGAAAGTCGAGTAGATCCAGCAGTATGTGTCCATGACGGCGAGCGGTATTTCGTCCACGATGCAGTCTATCGGGTCACCGATGTACTGTCGCGAGGTGACGAGCAGCGAGAACGTGATCAAGATGATCACGGTGGCTTTGTAGTGTAAACGAAACACATTGTTGTCGATACAAACGGAGTCGAGTTTGAGGAGCCCCTTGACGGAGCCGAAAACGTCAAACATGGCGGTTTCACTAGCCGCGGGCGCGCGGCGGGTCGGTCGCGGCGGTCGTTAGAATATCGGGCGTGCGCTTCGCCCTCGCGTCGGAAGCGGAGTGTTGAGGCGACGTCGGGACGGGCGAGGAAGCCACGACCGGTGGTGGCGAGGGCGACAGGCGAGGCGCGGCGGTGAGGCGCGAGGCGGCGCCCCCCGGCCCCGCGCTGCACACGCTCGCACTCTGTGCTCGGAGCAACGACACAGCACTGACCCTATTTCTACCACATATTCGTGGCGTCATCTGGTAGCGAGTACGGCGCAGCCAGCGGCTATGCACCTCGACATTCTCAATTTAGAGCCCGCGAGAAAGAATATTACGTGCCACTACCGGGCTGCATATGCTCTCGTTTATTGAAGTATCTATTGATTGCATCACTTAGGGGCTCGGCGGTGGCCGATAGAGCGTTGGTTATTAGCGTAACGATCAGCTACAATAGACAACACGAACTTAAAAACTACAGTGACGTTATATTAGATTCCATTCATGTTTGTGTTTTGATTGGCATCGTTAGTTCTTTTGCTGGAGCTAATTATGAAATTTATGATCATTGTCAACCACATTGGCATGAAGATTAACAACTTATTGATTTTTTATTAATACTTAGTATTGTAAGTACTTAAGTACCTAATATCACATCGTGATAAGCCACACCGCAGTCTCATAACAGAAGCATCTCGTTAAAATTAAAACTAACTACCCACTTAATTCATGATAATTTTTATTCCTCTTTTCCTGTTCCAGAACCGTACAATTAGCAATGCAACATAGCTTCTGGAAATGGAACTTTTGATACGTCTCAAAGAAATCATTATCTATCAACCCATTCTTCATTCAAAAGGTTTATCAAGGGTTTTGATAATGAGGAGATAAAGCCATCTACAAAAATCAAAGAATATTTGCATGCAAAACTATTTGAACTAATACATACGACGAATCCACCAGCTATCTTATTGACAAGTTAAGATAAGAAAAATATTGAATTTTCTAGATTTATTGCTTGCAAACGATGGAAATTTTAGTATTTAGTCATAAGTTTTTGTATATTGGTTCAAAACAAACAAAAATTTTGTTACCTGTGACATTTATTGTCAAAAAAGTTTTTATCCTAAGCCTTGAGTTGAGTAAAAGGGGGTAGTCAGCAGTGAAAATCGTTTTCTGCAATGATATTAAATTACATATATCATTGGTTGACTGCGTTTTTTCTTTTAATGATGACACGGGCAAGATTTAAAATTAAGTAGAAAATCGGCTTTGAAAAAATCAACAAAACCCGTCATTTAGATGCGTAGAAATATGTCGAACGCTATTGATAACGATGGGTACAAAATAATGTACTGGAAATAAGATAAGAAATTGAATAATTTTAAACATTTATGATTTGATTACAAGACGCCGATATTTGGTGATATAACGTTTATTTGTATATCATTAAGGTTTTCTTAATTATCTGTGGACGTATTATATTGTAATTTCAGTATTGAAGCGTAAAACTCAAAATTTTTCTTTTGCGCAGAGTTTTTGGCGGGATTTCATCAAGTGCGGTAAGCTTCTTATTTTATTAATTCTTAAATTCGTTCATAGTGGATATTGTGAAATAAAGTTGGTGTAATTTTGTGTTACAACCATCTGCGCAACTGAAGAATTAGTCGAATCTTTAAAATATACGCGATTCCGGTCAAGTGGACGTGAGAACTTTATTGTAGTGTTGACTACCTCACAGAAGCTTATCGGAAAAACCAACTCGGTACATTTCGTGCCAAACACTCCAAGAAACATTAGAATGCGTCACACCGACGTTCTAATGTAAATAAAAAATGAAGATAAGGGTTTGTATTTATGTATACGACTGAAGGACTTGTATCCATGGTCATGAATAATAATAATAGAAAAAAAATTGCGCAAAACATTTCGCATTTTTTCGACGTTTTCGCATCTGTTGGAGATAATAAGAAAAAAAACTGATGTATCGGTGACGTTATGTTTTTTTTTTAATTTGGTTAAAAGTAGCCTATCAGTACAATTTAGCTGCTCTGACATAAATTTTGCTTTTCCCAACGCGTATTTTTATTTCAACAAAATGAAAAATTTGAAGAGCTAAAATTTGCAAAGAAATACTTTAAAGTAAATAGTTTTTGTGAGATCAAAAATCAAATTCGAAAAGATGCGATTTTTTTTTCTTCGAGTAAATGTCAAACAAAAATCCAAACCAAATCTCATGATAAGATACATCAATAACTAACCAACGCACGTTAGGTCCTAAGATCTTTCAAACGTATATTTTGTGATGCACTTGGATTCCATATTAAATAATAAACAAATTATTTATGGTACTCATAATATTCGCTCAGTTCCCAAAAAATGTGTTATTTTTAAGAAACTAAATTGCCTGTTCAAACTACAAAACGATTATCACTATCACATTAAAACTTGTATTCTTATTATCTATTTGGTACTAATTTGTGGAAAAGTTTAGAAAACTCTTGAAAAAGTTTCCTAGGATTAGTTAGTTACCAGCGTTTTGTTTCCTTCATCCAATTCTGAAAAGTAATTTTAGTCATCCGGTACTAGTATTATGAATGCTCAAGTATTGACCGTAGTATGTACCATATTTAAGAAATACAACTTCTATTCTTACATTAAAAAAAACTGTCTTCTGGTAACGCTTTCACTGCCAAATCGCAAAACGAATATTGATAAAATTTTGGTAAGACGGTAAATAAAACTAAAAGGTATCGACATATATAAAACTCAGCCCAAACCACTGGACGGATCGGGCTGAAATTTGGCATGCAGGTAGATGTTATGACGTAGGCATCCGCTAAGAAAGGAATTTTGAACAATTCTACCCCCAAGGGGATAAAATAGGGAATGAAAGTTTGTATGTTTGTCAATTTTAAACCGATCGGGCTGAGACTTTGCATGCAGGTATAAGAAGAATCATAGATGAATGTCATTGTGTATAATACAAGCCTTTGAACAAAAACTATAGTCTAAACTACAGCTCTATACCGAAGCAAAGCGAGGGCGGGCCACTAGTATAGTTTTAAGCGGTAGGTAGTGTTGCCCTCGAAGTAAATTTTGGGCTACTTAACTATATGGCACTGATGTGACAGTTTAACGGCGTTATGTAAACTTGTTTTAAGCGAAACATTTTCTATCTATAGTGCATACTTATAGGCTGTCTTACAAAAGTAACAACACAAAGCGATGTCAGCTGTAAATGGGTTTCTATTTGTATAGAAATAAAGCTGTCTTCATTATCGATGAAATAGTAACTCGAAGTTCTCACCGTTAAGCGGTCATTGGTATTTGTCACTCGTAAGCATTTTGGAACTAACACCTTCTCGAATTTTAAACAGGCAAATGGCATTTTTCATAGAAAACACACGCAAACAATATGAGGTGAAGCTTTTACAATAAAACATGCACCTTATTGCATTAATGATAAGATTTTATTTTAGTTGAAAGGTGAGTTTTAAGTTTACGATGACACGAAGTGCATGGAACTGAGACAATGCAGTTTTCACTGGTCGTTTATTATTAATTTGAAATTCAATCAACTGTTCATCCATAGCAATAGATGGTCCTTTAAAAAAGGCGGGAAGAAATCGTTCATGGAGGTTGGCAAAGTTAAGGTGGCAGGTGTGGCAGTCCATTACTTCCTTTTCCTAACTTTTTTATACATGGAGTATTAATATTTCTGTAAAATCCAATAGGGTATTTGACAAGTTTTAGACAACGATCTCAGGCTATTTACTAATATTTAAGGAGTCCGTAAAAATATTCATCATTCTGTTGTGTATTTCAGTAAAAATAACCAAATCAAAAACTCCATTTTCAAGTTGCCGCGAAATCGTTCCTCTGGACAATATGGTGTCTTACTAGTATCTGACGTCACACGACTGTTATTAAAACGTCAAACGATACAATGTAATGTCACTTTAACCGGAAGTTTACTTGCGTGTGATGTCATTTTAGGCTCCGCCAATCCCAAGCTTTTTGGGTCACGTGACAATAGATAAGAAAACTATTATCTTTTTCGTTAGTTTTTAGTAAAATTATGAATATTTTTTTTTGTAAAAATAGTAAAAACCTCTGCCAATATTTATTCTAAACACAGATGCCAACAATTGGCACTTTATTTTTAACACTGTCAAATACCCTATTCTTGTTCAGTATGACTTTGTGTTTTCAAACTGCTCAAAAACATGGAGTTCCTTCTAATAAAGTCTCTATCGCTAGATTGTCACGTATCATAATATCTGTATGACAGTTCTAATATCTACGGCGCCGCGACTTGATCTATTGCGACAAGTTAATACTTATCCTTGTAACAGCTTAAGATATTGGAATCTTTATTTTTCTAACATATTTAAAAAAAGTAAAACTTGTTGAAACAATACTACACTTTAGCGGTTGTATCACTTTAAAGTGTTATATGGATGGATTACAACTACACATCTATTGTAGCTATTCCAATCCAGTTTAAGAGAAGATGACTGACTGACATAGTGATCTATCAAAGCACAGCCCAAACCACTGGACGGATCGGGCTGAAATTTGGCATGCAGGTAGATGTTATGACGTAGGCATCCGCTAAGAAAGGAATTTTGAACAATTCTACCCCCAAGGGGATAAAATAGGGAATGAAAGTTTGTATGTTTGTCAATTTTAAACCGATCGGGCTGAGACTTTGCATGCAGGTATAAGAAGAATCATAGATGAATGTCATTGTGTATAATACAAGCCTTTGAACAAAAACTATAGTCTAAACTACAGCTCTATACCGAAGCAAAGCGAGGGCGGGCCACTAGTATAGTTTTAAGCGGTAGGTAGTGTTGCCCTCGAAGTAAATTTTGGGCTACTTAACTATATGGCACTGATGTGACAGTTTAACGGCGTTATGTAAACTTGTTTTAAGCGAAACATTTTCTATCTATAGTGCATACTTATAGGCTGTCTTACAAAAGTAACAACACAAAGCGATGTCAGCTGTAAATGGGTTTCTATTTGTATAGAAATAAAGCTGTCTTCATTATCGATGAAATAGTAACTCGAAGTTCTCACCGTTAAGCGGTCATTGGTATTTGTCACTC